GGTACCTCCAATCTATAAAAAACTCCTAAAAATCAACAGTAGAAAGAAAAAAAGGGGCTGGGGAGATATCTCAGTAGAATAGGCACAGCACCTGATGGCAAGCGCAAGGTCCTGAGTTCAATCCCTGATACAAAAAAAAAAAAAAAAAAAAAAAAAAAAAAATCCCCTAGTTTTTAAAGGGGGAGATCTGAATTAACATTTCTCCTAAGAAGAAACCAGATACTACAGGCTAAATATTGTCTGTTTCCATCTATGTGAAATGTCCAGAATAGGCAAATTGAGAGAGACGTAAAGTAGGTTGCTGTGCATTGATGTAGAAGAGCTGGGATAAATATTAAGAAGTACAGAGGGTTTTTGTTTTGTTTTGATTTTTAAAGATGTATTTGGTACAGGATATTGCTACCCTGGTCGGACTCATATTGATACTCCTGTTTTCAGCTTCCACAGCACTAGGATTATAGGTGTGTGCCTCCGTGCCCTGTCTCGGTGGCCTGCTCAGTGTGCCCAGAGGTGGGGCTGGCATGGTCTGTGCTGGGGATCAAACCCTGGTCCCTGTGCTTGCCAAGCAGGCACTTAATCCACTAAGCTATCTTGCCAGGCTTTGTTTTGATTTTTGAGGAGGAAGAAGTCCTCCAGTTAGATAGGGTGATGTTATGCAATCTTATGAACATATTAAAAGCAATAAATCATATACTATAAAGTTGTGAACTTTATAGTATTTGAAGTATATTGTGCATTAAGATATAAAAACCATAATTGGAGGAAGGGCCAGAATTGTGTAATAGACTAGGGTGTCATTCATGTAGGCAATTATTTAACAGATGGGGTGAGATGCTCTACAGCAGTGTTGGCGAACCTCTGACACATGTGCCATAGCAGGCTGTCTATATCACTGAAAGCTCTACAAGGTTCTCTATAGTAAGGCATATAGCTGTATAGTATTGCTGCCCAACAGATTTTTTTACAGTGATGTAAATGTTCTATTTCTATACTGTCCAACTAAAGATTTAAAAATACTATGTGTGTGTGTGTGTGTGTGTGTGTGTGTGTGTGTGTGTGTTTAAGTGTCAGAAAAGCTTGACTAAATTGTCAAGGTTCTATTTAGAGGGCTATGAAACAGTGACTGTGGTATACTGGCTCAGGATAATTCCTTCATCTTGGCACACCTATGCCTCCTTCCTTTTTAAAAGGGAATAACAGGTTTTATTTTGTTTTAAAAGATCCAAAGATCCCTGGCAAGCACAAGGTCCTGAGTTCAATCCCCGGTAAAAAAAAAAAAAAGAAAAGAAAAAGACCCAAAGAGTTGCATGCAAGACAACCAGCTGCACCTCTGGGGCTGGGGGCTCATTCCGCATGTACTTGGTGCGCCTGGAATATGTCCTTCTGAGGAGAGAAGCCATGCGGATGGTGCTCTTGGTGGCGAAGTTACAGGCATATATGTTTGCAAGGTCTTTCCTGGAGCTTCATCAAATGTTAATTATTAAAACAAGTTGATGTGTTTATGGTAATAAACTTAAATTGACTTAGGTTAAGTAAGAAAAAAAGTTAATTATTTGCTGTTCCCCAAGAAGACCCTCAAACTTACCAACTTTGATATTTAGATACTTTGAAAGTGACCTTAGAACAATGTAGAGTTAAAGTTAAAAGCAGGATAGCTACAGCATCCAGTATGACTGTGAAACATGAACATCTGGCTGTAGAAAAGCGCTCCTCCCATCACCTCTCCCCAGCCCCAACCCAGCATCAGATACCCGCGTGTAAGAGAAGGGAGATGGCTCTGAGCTCCTGCCTGCCTTATACTGGGCTTACGTTTCTGGTGTGTGGGCTAGGCCAGTGGGAGGATGAAAGATGAAGATAACGAAGCCTGTCTATCTTGTCAGTAGCGTGGTGCATCAAAAAGCTGATTGGCGCAGCATCCATGAGAAGATATGTCAGCTCCTGATCCCACTGCGCACTTCCATGCCCTTCTATAATTCAGAGGAAGAATGGCAGCATGGCTTGCAGCAGCTGCAGCAGCGGCAGGTAGGACCTACAGGGACTGGAGTGGGGTTAGCTCATGGGTGCAGTGAAACTATCCCAGATAAGGGCTGAACTGTGTTGTGGTCACTAAATTGTAACCTTAATGAGGGCAGAGGCTTTGCTTTGTGTCTTTTTGTCTTCAATCTCATTCAGTCAGTTGTTTCTACCTATACTGAATACTCATTCTTTTAGTCTGCTAGAACTCCTACGACAAGATACCATAGACTGGGTGGCTCAAGCCATAGAAATTTATTTTCTAATGGTTCTGGAGGATAGAAGTCTATGATCAAGGTGTTGCCTGGTGTGGTTCCTTCTGAGGCCTCTCCTCCTGACGTGTAGCTGGCTTCTCCTTGCTGTGTCCTTCTGTGGTTTTCTGTGAGCATGTATCCCTTAGTGTCTCTGTGTGTGTCCATCTTCCTCTTATAAAGACGATGGCCAGCTTAGGTTAGGGCCCACCTTGTGGATTCATTGTGACTGTATCACCTCTTTAAAGGCACTGTCTCCAAATACAGCCAGTCCTGAAGGACTGAGAGTTAGAGCTTCAGCTCATCAGTATGAGGGAGAGCACAGTTTAGCCTGTAGTGTCTACTTGTGTCAAGTGTGCTAAGAGCTGGGTCACATCCTAGGAAGATACAATTAGTACATAAGTAGAGGAGATTTCACAAAAGTAATTCCCATTATTCTGCTATAGATAGCATCTTATTTAACATAAAATCAGCGTTTTATGAGCCCTAAAGTCTAAACACTGGGTTTAATCAGTTTTGGTTTTATGATACTTTGATAGCAGCCTTAGAACAATATAAAGTTAGTTCTGATATTAGCTAAGGAGGATAATTCCAGAAGGAAAAATGAAATGTTTCTCTCAAAATCAGCTCAAACAGAAAATTTTAGAACATTCTGAGATATCTATAACTTTGCTAAACATTAATTTTATTAGAACTATAATTAAAATATATTTGTTCATCTAACAGATTTGTATCATGCTTTTATATAGTTTGAGGACTTAGTTCAAGAACTAAGTTCATGCCAAGGACCAAACTAAGATGGAAAGACGCATGTTCCTGGATATTGAAGAACTCAGCCTCCAGAGCTACCCTTTTTATGTCATCTTTTTTTGCAAACTCACTGTGAGCCCTCAAATAGTTAGATTGGCTTATCTCTGGATAAGGATGTTGGCCTTAACTCTATTTCTCTCTATTCCAGAAGCACTTGATTGAATTCTGCTACACAGTTGCCCAGAAATATCTTTTTGAAGGAAAACATGAAGATGCGGTGCCAGCAGCTTTGCATTCCCTTCGCTTCCGCATGGCCATGCACGGGCTGAGCTCAGTAGAGCTTGTTCCCGCTTACCTGCTGTTGGCTGAGGCCAGCCTTGGTGAGTAGAACTGACTTTAGATACCCCAGAGCTCTTAAGAGTGCTGTCTTGAGCCTTACCAACAACCAAAGTACCTGCTCTTTGGGGCACAAAGGTACCTTTTATGTAAGAGCAGAGTTGTTGTGAAGTTTGGCACAAGGTGGCAAAGGAGATGTAACATTTCTGATTATGACTGACAGAAATATACTCAAGCTGATCTGTGTAAAAGAAGGAAATTTATTAGGTTGCTGGAATATAGTAAGGGAGCTGAAGCTTCATAAGGCAGTAGGGTTGGAATACTGTAAGAAGTCAAGGCGGGTGCTCTGGGTATCTCTCTTGGGCCTTATTTCGTATCTCTGATTCTGAGTATCTGATTTGTTTCTTCTCTCTGTAGGACAGATGGGGTCAGGGTGACGTGGCTTGGAGATAAATTAACCCACCAAGATAGATGGGAGGGGCAATATTGGCAGTGGGGAGCACAGGCTTAGTAGATGCTCATGTTGTGGCTACTACAAGAGAAGTGGAATTTTGATAGAATTTAGTATTCTTGAACATCAACAGTGTTTTAGGCACTGAAATACTAATTTGTGCATCTTAATAACCATCATTTAATTTTTTTAAAGTGCGAGGGATATAATTCAGTGATAGAGCCTTTGCCTAGCACATATAAGGTCCTAGATTCAATTCCAAGCACTGCAAAAAGAAGTTTTTAAGTAAGACTATTGGAAATACAGTATACACCCCTCCCCCACCCCAAGTCATCTCGGGGTAAGTTGGTTATGTGATGTCATCTTTAGAATTCTTCAGGGTTCCGTCTCTGGTGTGCGGTGCCCGCCCCGCTCCCAGGCCGCGCTAAGAAGGTGATTGAGACTGGGCATGGTGGTGCGCTCCTGTAATCCTAGTGCTCAGGAAACTGAGTCTGATCTACGTAGTGACACCCTTTAGACCCTTACTAAAATACAAGAAAAAAATGAAAAGAAAAGAAAAGAAAAGAAAAGAAAAGAAAAGAGAGAAAAAAAAGAATTCTGCAGTGTATAGAAGTTGTTTTCTCATAGCCATAATATAACTTCATCTACTGCTTTCTGAAAAGATCCCACTCAGATTTCTCCAGTTTTCCCAGTTAACATCTTTTTTTTTTTTTTTTTTTCGTTTTTCAGTAGGGGTCTACAAGGTCTCACTAATTAGAGCAGACTCACGGTGCTCCACCTGTGTTCACCTCCCAAAGAGCTGGGATTACAGGACCACGCACCAACACGCCCAGTCTCAGTTGCCACGGGGCAGGCACAACCCCCAGCCGCTGCTCTGCCTAAGCAAACAATTAACATCTTTATAGCACAAAAATTTACAGAATCAGAAAATGTTCAGAATGTTCAGGTTCAGAATTAGTTTTAATTGTGTTGTTGTATATCTTTAGCTTCATTCTGGAATAATTGACCAGTCATTTCTTGTCTTTTATGACCTTGTCACTTTTAAAGATCACTGCCGATTATTTTAGAAGGCATGTCTCAGTTTGGGTTTGTCCACTATTTCCTCATCCCTGGACTTAGGGTAGGAAATTTTGGCAGAAGATCACAGAGGCAGGACTCTTTTCTTCTCATCCTAGCCTCTCAGTTGGCAAGTGTTTTCAATTTTTCCATTACAGATGATGTTGATTTTATTTTATTTCTACTGCCAGTGAACAGAGCCTGGAAAACATTAGATGAAAAATTCTACAAATAAAACTTTATAAGTTTTACATAATTTTCATTATAGTATATAGTTATAATTGTTCTATTTTACTATTTATTATTGTTAATTTCTTACTGCACTTATTTTATAAATTGAACTTTATTATAAGTATGTATATATAATGAAATATAGTACAGATAAAATTTGCTACTGTCAGAGGTTTCAGAGATTCACTGGAGGTCTGGAATATATCCTACACAGATAAAGGGAACTGCTACAATAAAAAAAAAAATTTTAATGGTTGTTTTAAAGTATTTAATTTTGAATAGAAATAGATAACCAGAACACTAAGCTGCAAAGTTTTAGGCTAATTTATATCAAATTGTTCTGTGATCATTCCACTCTTCATAAACATTTCTAATCACACGACTGAGGACAAATTCCAATAATTTCATTTTGAGATCTCAGCAAGCTTCCTTTGCAATTCTAGGATCAGATAACACTTCATTCCATAAAGTAGAACAAGTATTCCCAATATTCATTTTAATTACTTTATTAAGATGATGTTTGCCAGGCTTTTTCTCTATTGTATTGCTCTCTCCCCTTTGCAATTAGTAATTTAAATTTCAGTGTTTTTTTTTTTTTTTTTTGGCGGAACTGGGGCTTGAACTCAGGCCCTCGTGCTTGCCAGGGAAATGCTTATTCTACTGAGCCATCTCCCCGGCCCCCAGTGTTTGTACTTTGAACAGTAGAAATAGCCCTTTCCTTATCAAGCTTCCAATGTCACTGATTTATTTATATAGACTTGGGTTCCTATTTTGTTCAGTGAATTATAATCTTTTACTATTGATATTCACACTGTCCCTGAATGGCCAGTAGTAGCTCGTACTCAGGCTGCCTTCTGCTTTTCCTTGACATATCCCTGTTGTTCTTTGATCACTTTCCTGTTTTCTGGAACATATCTCCACAGAATCCTGGTTTCTTTATGTGGAAAATGAAATTTGGAAGCCAAGCACTGTACACTAGGCTTCATTCACTGTTACTGTATATGGTTTGTGTCTAGATGTCCTCCCTCTCCTTTCACCATTGTAAATGGTAAGCTGACTCCCCCCTCTATGCTGCCTCTTCTGTGCGTACCTATGCCTCATGATTGGGCTCTGACTCTCCACACTAGGCTGATTGCTATAGAAATGCTCTCTCACCTCACTGAGGTCTGACAATCCATTCTGGGTAGTCTTTCCTTCAGACTTGTGGGGAAAGCACTACACAAGGAAATATAGCCAGGTTCTTTATGCCTCTGACACTGACTGATTATGGGATTTTGGAAAGTCAACTTGGCCTAAGTCCTACCACCTCCCATCTAGACTACTGCTCACTCACTGTCTTCCATGTCTTCTCTGGCCTTTCTCCGACCTGGCTTCTACACAAAAATGGGGTCAGATCACCCCCCACCCCACCTCTATTCCCAAGTAGCAACCAAATTTCTAAACCAGCCTATCAGGTCCTGCTTGTTCTAGCCTCAAGCAAATCCTCTTACTTTTTACCTAAATTCTATCATTTTATGTCTCTCATGTTCTCTCTCTCTCTCTCTCTCTCTCTCTCTCTCTCTCTGTCTCTCTCTCTCTGTCTCTTTCTCCCTTCCCCCCTCACCTTTTCTCAGAGGCATGGTGATGTTCTTTGTTCTGGAAGGCTCTTCTCCAACTAGCCCCTCCACTTCTTCCCACTTAATGAACTCTTAGTGGTCCTGAGCTCAGGTCTTACAAGGTTATTATCCTCTTGTCCAAAAGCCTTCCCTGACCCCACAGATCAGGCCAGATGTCTTTTTAAATACTTTCATTCCTAGACTTGCTTCCTGTTTTCTGAGCACTCACCCCATTAATAGTTACATATTCATTGAGGAGATTGTGTAAGTAATGACTCTGTCCTCCACCATCCTGTAGCTCAGGGAGGCCTGGCTCTGTGCCTGAGCTTCTCATCACAGTGTCTTCATACCCAGCAGAGAAGTTACTCAAAAAATACTCTCAGTACCTGATCCCCCCAGGTAGCATTATATAAACATTTGTTGAATCGGAATCCTATTCATAGGATTGCTTTGAGGGTTAAATAACTTCATACATAATAACATAAAAGTGCTTTGAAAGTGGGAGTTACATTGAAATGAAAAGTTTTACTACAAGACCAAGTCATTGATTTAAAACTTTGCCAATGTGTTTCAGAGCCTAAATAAAACACATTCCTGTGCAAATACTTTTTTCCTATCTTAGAGATTCCTCCAGACTGGAGAGGAAAACTAACAGATAGGTAGTCTTTCCTCCTTCTCCTTCTCCTCTTGTAAATCTTTGGAATTTTAATCAAATAGAAATGGCATTTTCAGTAGTACCTCAAGGAGAAGCCAGGCTGTTCATCATCCACTGCTATCTCCATTCTTCCTGTGCTAGTTGTGTGAGCCCAGTCACAAGCTATTTTTGACCTCAAAGCTGGAAGTCTTTCTGCAGCACACAGGGCCAGCTTTGAATCAAATCTGGGGCATGTGCTTGAATATCACCTTTTCAGAAGTTGGTTCCTTGATGTCCAGAACAGGTCTCTCCCTGCTACTTCTTTTGGCACTATTCTGTTCACTTCCTCCATAGCACTTCGTGTTTACTTGTTGATTGTGAATCTACCACTCTGTTTGTGATCAGAGATTGTGTGTCAGTGTGCACCAAGCATCCGCTGCAGGGACGGACACTCAATAACTTATACGGTTGAGTGAGTGAAATGTCTGTGAATTATCCTTCTGATAATTATTTATAGGGATATTGGCTCACTTGAATCACAAGCATGGATGAATTTGCAGAGTGGGGCAAATAGCAGGCTCCCAGTAAATGCTGTTTTTTTCCTTCCCCTGATCATCTTACAGCAGGTTTCAGTTCATTTGTTTCTACTGCATTTGATGTTCCTTGGCTTTCAGCACTAAGTCCTGAAAAGTCTTGCCCTATGTTGTCTCTCAGACCTGCCACTAACCTACTATAAATCTGTTGTCTCATCTTCCAAACCACTGCCATTGGCCTTAAGTGGCTTTTAGTCTCTCTCTCTCTCTCTCTCTCTCTCTCTCTCTCTCTCTCTCTCTCAATATATATATATATATATATATATATATATTTGCCCTTCAGGAGAGCATCACTTCCTTCAGCAACTCAGTCTCCACTACATCCACTTATTCTCTCTGCCCTCCAGGCCGGCACTCTATGGAAGAGGGATGCTTGAACTACCCACTCCATGGGCACAATCTTATTTCTGACTAGCACTAGTGAGCTCTCCTCAGCCTATTCTCTTACCTTGCTCTGCCCTATTCCCTATATGCCAATTTAGATGTTGATGCAGCCTGGCTTTAAGGCTTTTTTTTTGTTGTTGTTGTTGCCAAACCCTTGATGGTTCTTTTGCTCCATTCAGATAGAAATCATGACGCAGCAAAGTGAAACTCTGCTAGTGGCTCTGGGCTTTGGGTTCCAGCAGCATGCCACCCTTCTCATTTCAGCTCTGGGCCCTGATGCCACTGGCTCAGGTACATTGTTGGTCCGCACTGCCAGTTGCTGATCTCTGCACTGCTGGCTGCTACCCACTGATGCCAGTTTGTGTCAGACACTCAATTGACTCTGCAAATTGGTTTTTCTGTTCTGTTATTGATCTTCATTTGATGCCAGTACCTGCAGCTCTGCAAGCTCCAGGATTTACAGTGTTTTATTTTAAAGTGGCCGCTTTGTCCACATGGACAAGAATTCCATGCCTTGGTCAAAAATGGTAGATTTGTAGGAGCTCCCAAGGCCACGCTAAGCAGTAAATTATAGGGCTGGGGATGTAGCTCAGTGGCATAAGTCCTGCCTGGCAAGTGCAAGGTCCTGAGTTTGATCCCTGGTGAGAGAGAGAGAGAGAGAGAGAGAGAGAGAGAGAGAGAGAGAGAGAGAGGAATCTTGAGTAGATTTACAGGACCACTTGCATGAGGCTCTATTTGAACAAGACCTATGTGGCAGCACAGGGGTTCAGCATACCAGAGACAGCACTCCTAAACCAAGCCCAGAAGTGTGAGGGAATACTTCAAGCTTCTGATTGGTCCAAACTTGAGCCTGCTGATAGGTCCAAACTGGTCTAAACTTAAGGCTTCTCATCTAAGCCTACTGATAGGTCCAAACTCAATTTTGCTTAGTTTAAATTTGAGCCTGTTGCAGACAAAGAAGACATCCTTCAAAGCAGTAGGAGGTACCCAGGACAGCCACAGACATCATAGTGATGTTTAGGGGGGAATAGGAAGATGTCTACTGTTTGACAGTGGCTATGCCTTGGTCAAAAATGGTGGGGCTCAAACTGAGGAATCTTCTGGAGGGCTGGTTGTGCTAATCATAGCTTTGGGTCTATTAGGGGAAGTCAGGGATGTTAATAATAAGCTCAGATACTTCCCTGATCACTGTCATGTTAAGGGTGGTTTACCCACCACTTCTTCAAAGACCCAACAGCATCTTGAATGGCAAGAGGGAGGGAGGCACACCACAGCTGACACCTTCCTACACCTCCTGTCTGGTAGCCAGAGAACAGCAGGAAGTAACCTGAGAAGTGAAGAGAGGACAGAGGTAAGTTGTCTCAGTCCTTCTTCAATGAGAAAGTGAAATGAAGGGGAGGGACATGATAGCTTTTGACCAAACCACACCCCTACCTGGTCATCACAGAAAAAGAAAAAAGGGAGAGTCAGGGTAGTGAATAGCTAGGTTATAGTCAACTTGTTACACCCAGCTGAATTGAGCTAGCACAGTGCTGAGCATGGAAGGCCCACCTGAGGATTATTGCAAGCAGCATGAGAGGCAGAACTGGAGAAGCTGTGGAGAGGCTATTAGGGGTACTGTTTGGAGAAGCTGTTGGAGCTGTTGGAAGCTGCTGGCTCTCTTGGGCTGTTTTGCTGAGGGACTGACCTTATCATGCTGGCCTTCCTGATGAACTTGGAGGAGGAGGAGCTCAGGACCTTGTTGTCACTAAGAATGGCTATAGTTCACTTTGGGGGAGCTCTGGTCCTCCTTTTGAGCATCGTTTCCTAGTTCAAGAAGGGAAGATGGTGCACTGCTCAGCCTCATGGAGAGGCTCGTCACATTGGCTTTCCTGATGGAACTCAGCTTTCCTCATCACTGGAGGAGCTCAGGAACTCACTGTTGCTGCAGGTGGCTGTGGTACTTCTTGCAGGGAGCTCTGGTGCTTACCTTGCATGTTGTTTCCTGGCTCCAGTTCAGCCTGCTAGCACAGATCCTTCATCCTGCTGGCATGGGCTTTCTAGCATCCACCACTGACCTTCGCGCCTTTCCATTGCAGATCTGTGAAGCAGGTCAGCATGAGACATTGTCATGGGCTGTAGGCCTCCATTTGGACTTGTGAGAGTCATTGGTATGGGCTCTAGATTTTCTGCTGAACTCACTGTGGGATCCAGACCCTTAGTTGGACTCTTTGGTCTTTAGATTGTGGACAGACGGGGGGCTGGGGAAATAGCTCAGTTGAATAAGTGCTTGCCTGGCAAGCACAAGGGCCTGAGTTCAATCCTCAGCTCTAAGAAAACAAAACAAAACAAAAAAAATAGTGAATAGAGTGTGGACAGACTTTCTGCACTCTTGTATATGATTCTTTGGGTGACTCATTATAAAATAATCTTATAAAATGTGTCCTGTATTGTATTGTTCCCCTTGCAAAAATCCCAAACCATGACAGCCAGGTACTTCTCATCTCCCTTGGCACTTACTCCTAGAATGAGAACTTGATAGTGAAAATGAAATCTGCAGTATTTCTTAATGTCTTCTACCATTTTTCCCATTTAATCTTAGCTAAGAATCATTTCCTTCTTCAACTTTTGGAGGACCTTAAGTTTCTTGTTTTATAGACAAAGCCTGTAGGGAAGGTGTAACTTTCTGGGTTCATATGAGGCGAGCTCACAGACTAAGGCTTCTTGCTCTGGCCTAGCACTGTCCCAATTTCATTTGCATTTTGACCTTTAGTTGAGCAAGTTTACTTGCTTGTCCTCCTCTTTATCTCTCCTCCTCTAATTCAGTGATATAAAATTATAAGTAGACAAAAACAGTGGTTCCATAGTATGATAGCCCACCTTCCATCACAATAACAGATGCCTGTGACACTTGACTGATGAGGTTCTTTTGGCTTACTGTTGTGGTAGTCTGTGATCAAGTCTACCCGTCACTTGTAGGCCTCTGGTGGTGGTGGAAGGGGGTGACAATGTAGAAGAAGGTAGTGCAGAAAAACCTTTTATTTCATGGCCAGGGCATGAAAGAGCAAGAGGAAGCTGCTGGGGTCCTGTTATCTTTTCTGAGCAGACAACTCTGATCACTGAATGCCTCCCATAAGCCCCCACCTCTTTAAATTCTCACCACTTCCCAATAGCACCAAGTTGGGGACTGAGCATTTGGCGGGGGGTCATCCCAGATCCAAACTACAGTGCACAAGAACTAGGTCTATGAAAAAAGACAAAGGAGCAGAAGGCAGATGGATGGAGGTCTGACCCATGATTGATGCCATCTTTGCTGCACCTTTTCTTCACACAAAATGCTTGACAGGTGGAGCACGCCTCCTGCTCTGCAGATTATTTTTTATTCTGTTCTGATAGCTTCCCTGGGAGGCAAATAGATAAACAGGCAGCTATTACATATTTTTACAGCTAAACAGAAAGTTGCAAGTGTCAAATTTGTATTAATATTAGAAATAAAAGTAGCCTTCTTTCCTCTTGCCTTCTATCTCTTAGTGCCCGTGTGCTGCCCATTCTAGCCCCTCAAAGTCTCGAATCCACACAGTGTCCATTCACTGCCTTGGTGCAGGTTTTCTTCAGTGTGTGGCTGAATTATTTCAAGTCTTCTAGCAACTCTTCTACCCTTCTTTCTTCTGGTCTGTCCTCCACATTTGTTCCAGATGATCTCTAAATCTGAATCCACTTTGCTTCCCCCTTCTGAAAGTCCACTCATTATGTCTACATGCCCCGAGTTCTCTGGCATGATCTCCCCATCTCTCTCTTTAGTCTTGTTTGCTGCCATTCTGTCCTTCATGCTCTCTCCATCCTCACAGACCTGTCGTCTTCCACCACAGCTCACTGCTTTGTATCTCTGTGATATCGCATGACCAGTTACCTCTGCTAGGGATCTCACTCTCCTATTATCTAACTGAAAAGCTAGGTTCTTCTTCACAACCAAGTGAAGATTCAGCTGCCCATGCCTCTTCCCACTCCATTGTCTCTATACCCCTTTCATAGAATTGAACATTTCCTATGTACTGCCACTTTCAAACCTCACGTTGCTATCCTCTTTATACTCCATAACAAATATATACATTTTCATATTTCACATGCGTACCCCAACCCATCTGTGAGTTTTTCTAGGGTAATGGCTTTGATTCATCTTTGACTCCTTATCACTCTATGCCAGGCCTGCTACATAAAAGATGTTAAAAAAAAAATATATATATATATATATTATGAATAGGCTCCTATGAACAGTCATGTACAAGTTTTTGTGTGTTAATATTTTATTCAATGAATAAATAATTGAATGATGACTCCTATTTCATCATGAGATCATTGCAAACTTATGAATTATAACTTTCTTTATTGATTTTGGGCAGGTCTAGGCCGGATTGTCCAAGCTGAGGAGTATCTTTCCCAAGCCCAGTGGACGGTCCTCAAGTCAACTGACTGTAGCAACGCCACCTACTCCTTACTGCACCGGAATCTTGGGCTTCTTTACATAGCTAAGGAAAACTATGAGGAAGCCCGTTATCATCTGGCCAATGATGTAAGCAGGCCAAGCTGTAAAACACCCACAAGCTTAGTTGTTTTGTTTTTTAAATGAACATTTCCCTGAAATTTCCTGTTTGCAACTGACCGTTTCATTGAGGAACACAAGTCTTATGTCCTGGCTCAGACCTTTCCATTGCCTGTCTGTGCGACCTTGGCCAGGCCTCATTGGCTCTGAGAATAATGAGGAGAGACAATTTCATACTGGTTAGAGGAAGGGCTTTGGTTTTAGCTTCATCTTTGTTTTCTTACCATCTACATAGTTTGGAGCAAATTATTTAACCTCTTTTTTCTTTTCTTTTTTGGTGGAACCAAGGATTGAACTCAGGCCTTTACACTTGCCAGGCAAGTGCTTATTCTACTGAGCCATCTCCCTGGTCCCTTAACCTCTTTCAGAGATGGAAATTATGAAACAAACAAACAAACAACAACAACAACAACAACAAAACCCCCCAAAAATCACCTCTCAGACACACTGAGTCATTGCAGAGATTAATGATAGAACAGTATATGTACACTACTTTGGGTACTTTTAAAAGTAACATTAAATACCTACTGCAGAGTGTGTTTATTAAATTTAAATGACCTAGATCTTTAAGAAAGCACTTACAAACTCTAAAACTCTATACAAATGTTAGACAATATGATGGGAATAATAACTGAGTTGTTCTTTCAAAATTATGAGTTTGTCTTTAGGTTTTCAGTATTGAAAAATATTTCCAGAGAGAAATCTGGTTAGGCTGGGTCGGATTGCAATCTCCACAGATGTTATCTGTCTCTGTTGCCTCTCCACCGGCCTCTCCATGGACAGCACTCCCCCTGCTTGGCTGCCACTGGATTGAGAGTTGCCCATAAAGTCATTCTCAAGATAATTACTCCCCTTCCCCAAAACCCCAAATCCCTTCTCTTTCTTACCCTCTCACCTGGGAGGCTGAACTTCATGACCTCCTTTGCTGACTGGCTTTGGTTAGAGTTTGGAGAGAGAAAGGTGGAGGAAGGAAGTTGAAGGATGGGGAGAGAGAGGTTGGCCATGGCTCCTGGAAAGGGGCATTGTTAGCGCTGGCTAGTACCAGTCAACCCTGCTCTCTCACCTTGTCTTCTGATGCTACGGGTAGTAATAGTTTCTTGACCCTAGTGTTTTACTAGCCCTTGCTGGTTCTTTAACCAGTAATACTTTTGAGGATACCATCTGCTTCTTCCTGGTCCCAGAGCACCACCCCTCACTGGTGTTTCTTCTTTATTTTCCAAACCATATCCTCCAACAAGTTAAGCAGAGGTACATGTTGTCTTGACCTGGACCACACAGTTAAGAATTAGACCAAGGCAGATTCCTCAGTCTAGCTTATTTTTCTTTTCTCACAAAACTTTATTGATATAGCCTATAAAATTCATTTTAAATGTATAATTAATTTTAGCACATGTCCAGAGCTGTGCAGTCATGGGACAATCAAGTTTTGGGACATTTCTATCACCCCAGAGAGAGCCCTCATGGCCATTTGCAGTCATTTCATATTCCACCCTAGTCCCAGCTAATCATTTTTGTCTCTATAGATTTATCTTTTTAGACACTGTATATGAGTGGAATCATATATAGAATTGACAGCTGATTCCTTTCACCTTGGACCACCAGTGGCATGTATCAATAATTCATTCCTTTTATTGCTAAATAATACTCTATATTCTGGATAGACACTTATTGGTTATCCATTTATCAGGTGATAGGCGTTTTAGTTGTTTCTGCTTTTTGGCCCTTATGAATAATACTGCAAGAAATGTGTGTACATGCCTTAGTGTGGACGCACAGTCTTATTTCTTCTTCAGTAGGTACCAGAAGAGGAATTGCTGGGTCACATAGGAACCCTGTGTGGAATATTTTGAAGAGCTGCCAAACTGTCTCCATAGAGGAGGAGAGGAATTTTACATTCTTCATCCTCACCAGTACTTCTTATTTTCTGTCTTTTGTTCTATGCTATAACTATTCTTTTGGGTATGAAGTGGTATCTCATTATGACTTTATTTTACATTTCTTTAATAACATTTCTCTATTAATGTTAAGTAATTTTTCATGTTTATTACTCATGTACTGTTTTTTGAAAAGTGTCTGTTTGGATCTTAGCCCATTTTTACATTGGGCTGTTGTAAAATTTTCTTTCTATGTATGTATTTTGGGTATGCATGATTTTCAAAGGGAACTCAAGCACTCTCCTTTCTCTTGCAATAGATTTATTTTGCCAGTTGTGCATTTGGGACAGAGGACATCAGGACCTCTGGGGGCTACTTCCACCTGGCTAATATCTTCTATAACCTTAAAAAACTGGACTTGGCAGATACATTGTACACTAAGGTGAGCTGGGGAATATGGGATCTGAGCCTTAACATTGAGGTCTGGCGTCTTATAACTAGTCTCAGACCATTTTCAAGAAGCATATCCGCCAGGCATGGTGCTGCGTGCCTATACCCCAGTACTGTGTCAGGCCAAGGCAAGAACAGTGCAAGTCTGACCCCATCCTGGGAGACTTAGCAACTTAACGAGACAATCTCAAAAAATAAAAAAAGAACTGGGTTCAACTTTCAGTACTGAACAAAAGAAAAGCAGAAGAAGCAAGCAAGCAAGCAAGCAAGCAAGCAAGCAAGCAAGAAATTAGGCTTAGGGAGAAAAAGTGCCTTGCCCAAGGTTCCATAGCCTGAGGCATACCCTACTTTTCTTCCTATTTTTCTCCTACCAAAATAACTTAATCTTTAGCATCTGTAGAGTGCTTCTTTGGCTCTGTCACACCATCGTAGTGTCAGGCTAATGGGGCCTATTGAAGTGTGCGACAGAAGAGAACAGCTTTTCAAGAGAAAGTTATTGGTGCAAGGTGCTGTCAAGGGATCAAAGAATGTGGAGAATGATAATTATAAGATTCTATCTTTATATGTAAAAAGTTAAAGCTGTTTCCGTATACTAAATATACTGTCTTCATTCAGCACCACCTCATTTAGTCAGCAGCCTGTTCTATGTGTGAGGCACTCATGCATGTGTTATTGTTAATTCATATTTTAGGCCCATTTCTTAGAAAGATGCTGAAAGAAATGAGCTTTGGAGTCAGTCAGATCTAGGCTTATTTAAAAACCACCATATTTCAAAACAAGATAATAGGAGGGCAACAATGGTTAATACATTGAATATTATCTTTAAATTAATTACCCAGGGGATGGAGTGATAGCTCAGTAGGCTAAGCACTGGCCTGGCAAGCACAAGGACCTGGGTTCAATCCCCACTGCTACATGCCATGCCAGGCCCAGAACCCCTGGCACACTGAGCTGACCACCGAAACCAGGCATGGTGGCACACACCTGTAATCCCAGTTCTGGGGAGGCTAAGACAGGGGATCACTACAAATCCAAGCTACGTAGTGAGACCCTGTACCAAATAAATACATTAAAAAATTAAATTACAGATTAAGGTGCCTGCTCAGGCAGATGCAGTGGTCAAGGTTCAATCCCAGGCATGCCATGCCAGGCCTGCCCCTGGGGCACTCTAAGACGGAGATTGTGACTGGGCATGGTGATGTGTGCCTGTAATCCCAGCTCTTGGGAGGCTGAACACAGGCGGATCACTACTAGTTCAATCTACCTACTGAGACCCTGTAGACCCTGTACTAAATACAAAAAAAAGAAAGAAAAATTAAATTAGTTACTCAGAATTCAGGATATCAGCATTTAATTCTCTAAGCAATATTTGCACTAACACTTCTTTTCAATGAACTAAGAGAAATTAGTAGTATAACTATTGTAAGAATATATATATATATATATATATATAACATATATATATATTCTTTTCTCTATTCTTCCATCCTTTTGAAGTTTCTTTCCATTTTACAATATCTATTGTACATTTTTAATCTTATTTACTCTTTCAGCTCCTCACAGTAGGACGACAGTACAACATTTACACGTGTGTCTGGTTTATTTTATTTATGAGTATGGTCTTGAGTTGCATCCATTTATCTATAAAAGTCTCAAGTTTATCATTCTTTATAGTTGAGTAGTACTCCATGGTATTAAAAGACCACATCTTTTTTTATCCATTCCTCAGTTGGTGAGTATTTGGGTTGTTTCCAATATCTAGCTATTGCAAACTGCTGCTATAAACATGGGTGCCCATATATTGCTGTGGTACAATGTTTTGAATTCTTCTGGGAAGATACCCAGAGGGGAATATCTGGGTCAAATGGGACCAGCATTCCAAGTTCTTTGAGGAATCTCCACAGTGATGTCCACAGTGGCTGTACCACAGTCTACACTTCCACCAGCAGTGGAGAAGGGTTTCTTTTTCCTTGCAGATTTGTTAGTGGTTGATTTCTTGATAGTAGCCACTCTTTCTGGAGTGAAAGAATTTTAGTATTGTTTTAATTAGCATATCTTGAATGATCAGTGATGTTGAAAATTTTCTCATATATTTGTTTTTTGTTGTATTTCTTCATCTGAGAAGTATGTATTCATCTCAGATGCCCATTTTTGGATCGGATCTTTAAATTTATGAGGTCTGATTTATTTTGAGTTCTTTATATGTTCTAAATAGTAACCTTTTGTTTGAGGAACAGCTGTCAAGCATTTTTTCCACATTGTGGGTTTTCTCTTTACTCTGTTGATGTTTTCTTTTGCTGTGCAAAATCTTTTTCATAAGATGAAACTCAAATTGTTGATTCTTTGTGATAGTGCCTGTGCAATTTGGGTTTTGTTCATAAAATCTTTGCCTACATCAATGATTTCAAGAGTTTTACCTTCTAGCAGATTTAATGTTTCTGTTTTAATATTTAGTTCAAGATGTGGGTCCAATTTTAATCTTCATCAGGTTCAGATCCAGTTTTACCAGCACCATTTTTATATTAATATTATTGAGAAAGAAGTAGCAATGAGACAGTTTCAAAACAGGTTGGTTGGACAGTTACAATAATTAATATATTGCATATTGTTGTCTTCATAGTAGTTATTCATAGTACAAGATGCAGACATGATATCTTGTCTAAACACTATTAGTACAAATCTTTCTTCTCATTGAATTAAGAGAAAGTAGATGTATATCATCAGCACCATTTATGAAAGAGGCTATCTTTCTCCAGTGGATGTGTTTGATAACTTTGTCAAAGATAAAGTGGCTGAATATGTCTGGAGTTGTTTCTGAATCTTCTAATCTGTTCCATCAAACTTCAAGTTCTTTTTTTTTTTTTTTTT